CTGGACTAACAATTTATAGCTAACCAACCTTTGCCCCAAAAGCACAATTATAGATGATCTTTATAATTTTCTGCGAACTGCGGCAGTATGAAATTGATCTGTCTTTGGTCTCCATTATCTTTTTTGCGTGGCTTGTATACTTTTTTTGCGATAAGATGACACGGTTATTCCGTCAAGGGCATTCGGTGTCGCCCGTAGTGATTGATGGGATATAGACATGGTTCTTTGACAACAGACAGACGAGCCATATACTACTGTGTCGTCAGTGGTGTAAACCTTCGTAGACAAAAACTAACGCTGAAATTTATGTAATGTTACATATCAGCACTAATCTCGTCTAAGTTTAAAGGGGATAAATAAAGCGAAGCGTAATTATTAATCGTAATTTTGTATTGTAACAAGATTTCTTCGTTTTCTTCGTACACTAAAAATTTGCTCTGTTCTTTCTCCATGATCTCACAATATCCCTTGTTCTGTTATCTTCTTTTCCCAAAAACAAGTTGACAAGCAAACTATGACTGTTTTGGTGAATAACAGGAAAATTCATTGCCTTTAATGCTAAGAAAAACTCTAATTCAGTCTCATTATTCAAGAGCAGCCGCAACATCAGCACCTTGATAGTAACAGCATCAATATCATTGCTGTTTTTTGTTTGAGGAAAAAGACTGGAGGAGGTGCTGGAGGTCCTCCAGTCTCCAGTCCTTTTCCTCAAACAAAAAATAGCAGTTAGAGAAATAAATCCCTCTATTTTCGTTGCTTAAGAGACGAAAAAATTTTATCTAGACTTTGAGCAGTGCCTTCAACACATACAGATCTGACTATAAATCCAATTTAGTTTCCGGAGTGCATAAATTATTTTTAACAAATGTAACTATGATTGATGTGGTAATTTCCACAAAGTGGCCGTCTATTCAGATTACATAAAAACTATTGTTTGCAAATTGATTCCGTAAGTCCATCATTCACTTTAATTTACAGACATATGCCTAGATTTTGGGCTCAAATTTTGGAAGTTTTTTGAGGTGTCTCAAAATAAAACAAGTTGTGAAATTTTTCAATTTTGGAGTACTTTATCACGGAGCCTTCCCCTTGATTCTCTTGCGCTCTCATTTGTATTGTGCTTCATTTCGGCTTCTATTTCGGAAATGGACCTTGACAAAGTCATAGCCTCAGCGGCTTGTATGGAGCACGCGATCGGTAGCATTGCTGGAATCCCCTGTAATCTGTTTATCTTTACACCTCGAGGTTTCTTCTCCAACCGTTCGCTTTATCGCAAATTCCTGCTGGTGCATCATATCGATAAGCAGCATTGAGCCACTGTTGTCCTTTTGCTGTTGGTCTTTCAAAGCGCTATGCCCGATATTGTACTTTTGTACTTGGTTCAACTCGACAATCCCTCTACAGCATGTATACATGTCAATACCTTTCTCAATGCTAACATGATCAATTTAGTATTTTGGATTGAAGTCAAGAAATCCTAGCTCAGATTATCATTCTTTTCCGGCTATCGTTTCACTAACATCTGACAGATGTTTTTTAAAAGACCACTCAAAAATATCAATTTTTGTAACTCTTTTTTGAAAAGAAAGAGAACTAGCTTATTGTCATCCTTGATCGCTTTGTTCATTGGACTGACCTCCTATACCAGAGCATGCACTTGTTGCCCCCATTGCGCGTGAACTTTGGCTCTGCATCACGGATGGAGACTAAGGAGAAAAAGGGTAGGGGGAGGGGGGGGGGGGAAGGGTATCGCATTGATGTATATTATCACAAATGCTGCTTTTAGAAGTGGCATCAGAGAATCTTGAATTCTTAACACCCTGCTCTTTGCTGAGTAGTCTCGAATTTTTTGTTGATTGCGGATTTAAATTTATTTGAACATTTTCTGGTATGTTTGTTGCAGTTTCACTTATTTGCTGTTCAGATTGTTAATTAGAATTTTTCTACAAGTCTCTATTATTTGGCCACACAATTTTTTGTGATTAACATAATTAAGATCGGATAAAAACTATCATGACATATTCTCTTCAGACTGGCTAGTATAAAATGAAGTTTTGCAGCTAGTAGAAATAATCTGAATAAAAAATAGCCTAATCTAAAGTATCCAGTTGTCTACCATTGGGTAATATTGATAATGAAGCACTTATTTATTTTAAAGCAATCATAAATATTGTATTCTTCGTTAACATTTTTCATGAGTTTATATATCAATAATATATTCGACGTACCAGACCATGAAATAAATATCAGGTCGTCCCGAAAGTTTTGTCCGTTTCTTTCATCGCTCACTAAAACTCACAGGACACCGACCATGAACGATTTAGGTACCATTTGACTCGGATTTTTATCCTCTTTCTTAAAGCTATATTTGCCCTCTGGTCTACTCTGCTTTTGCAATGTTATACCATGGCTTTTTGAGCAGCTCTGCAGTAACGACAAATCTTTCCTGAATTTAAAAAATTTTTATCCTGATGTTTTCAAAGAGCACTGGTGACTTTTACGTAGAGCACATTTTTGGCTACATTGTAACCATTTTTAATTACATGAGCCACGTTTATCAAGTCCGCTATAACTACTCATTCAATAAAAACCGCGGCTTTTTGATTACGTTTACCACGTAGAAGTACCAAAAATTCCAAAAAGCTGCTTTTCGAAGCAAAAAAAAACTTGGTTATGTTGCATAAATAACGATAAATAAGAATCATGTTCCAATTTGCACAAGCTTCAGAAGCTTTAGTGTATTTGCTGCAGTTGCGTGTTTCATGATTTTAATAAAAATCGAGACCTCCGAAGAAATGATTTTTTGTTGCTAAAATCAGCAGATTAGGAAAATCTAAAAACATCGCCTTGTAGTCCGAGAATTGCTCTATTTAATCCATACTTAAGCCTTTCCTGAGCTTTCGAATGAAATTTTTTAAATTAGCCTAACTTCAAGCACATCAAATTGACGGGTGAAGAATTTTGGCAATTATCAAAAAAAGCTTACAAGATTGTGGTCTGAGAATACATCCACAAGAAAGAGAAGGAAAAGCTGCATCGAATGCATGTTGAAACTCATTCAAATCTTTATTCTGCATGGTTTTATAGTGGTTTGAAAAAACAGACAAAACTTTCGGGACAACCTAATATTACATCAATGTGACATGTTTTAGTGAGAAATAATCCTAATTTTCTTTTTATTGCGGACCCAAACTTAATATGTTTCGTCTGGGCGATCTGTAAATAAATCTCAAAATATTTTGTTTAAATAGCCTGTCATCTTAATCCTTGCCTACTGTCTCCTCACATCGATCGGTAAATATTTATAATCAGTTAAGTGACATTATTTGCCCTCACATAAAGCCAAAACGCAAACAGAGTCTTCTTCGCAGCATCGTTGTCCTCTTGTTCGACCTTCACACTTCCAATTACAAGAGTTTTTCGACACTCGTTCGAACTCATCGTCTCTACCTGAACTAGCTTTCCACCGTAGCATCGCTTTCCTCGTCGAAAAGCCGCATTTCCATTAGAAACATATGTTTGGGATTGCTGTAATTGTCTATGGGGTCGTTATCTTAAGCACCTCTGCATCTGCGGGAATTTTCCAGAAAATGAACCTCAGGCCACACGAAACCTGATATCATTGGCTTTTTTCTCAATGAACATTCTCTCTCGCTCTTAACATTTGGTTCTTCTGCTTTCTAGTCCCAATTTCGATTCAATAGGTGCTCAACTTTTATTGAGATTAAACTCTTTGCCCTCCTATTTCAATTGAGATAACAGTCTTTACTTTGATTTTCAGAACTTTTTACCGCCTTGTCAGTAAAACATCTCTGTTGACGTTCAATATTAGAAAATCTTCAGCGATATTGTGAGCAAAGTGTGTGACCACAAAGAGCTTGATATAATTGTATATCGAGGCTACATTTTCACTGCAATACTTCTCTATGAAGACACTCAAGTCAGCTCATTCTTAGAGTTTCTTGCATTAGCCCACAATAAAAAACGGCTTGCATCTCCGCTCGGTTTTTTCTGCTCTCGTAGCTGTTCACAGAAGTAGGATAAGTGACTCTAGACTGAAGTGGGTGTCCTTTCACAATAATTCACTCATCTTGATTGGCATCACTTTTAGCTCTGGTTAGATCATCGCGGTTCATTTTTCATGATCTAAACTAAAATCAATTCGTTTCAATACTAGCAAGTAAAAAATAAAAAGATGTGCGGAGCAGCTGATAGTATGTAAAAAATGTCTACAAAAAATGCGTCAGTCATCCCAGGAGATAAAATGCACATCCGTGGATTTTATTTTCTGGTACGCATTTTTATGCAAAAGACCGATAGGTTCAGTGTTAGTCGAAGAGTTTTCAATTAGCGTTTAAAGCAGTGATTGTCGATTATATAATAAAAGATCTTTGTTGAGTGCTTAAGATTAATGAGTCCATTTTTTTGTTTCCAGCATAATCACTGATAATATGCTTGAACAGCTGCTGCTCGAACTCTGTGGATTCATAAAAGCTATTCATAGCGCTTGCTGACGCCACAATCGAAACGGTGCGAATATGGAAAAATGCGAATATGCGCATGCATCCTCCTAAATTTCTTATATCCTCTGCTTACCACTAGGGCTCTTCATATTCCTCATTCCTCATTTGGACTACTCTCAGTCAACATCCAAAACCCAATAGTTTCACACTTTCACAGCTTTCTTGGGAACTACTGGTGATGGGTCGCCAAAAAAGTACTACCTTTCTAGTCCCTAGGCCCGAAACCGGTTGTGTGAAATCAAAATATTCATTTCAGTATCTAAATCCTATCATTCTACTCTACGGAGTCATGTACATCAAGATAAAACCACGCAATCATTTTCTGCTCCTGCTGGTTTCGTCAATGGTACTTATGTGCTTACATAAATCTATCCTCTTGACTTGCCTTCTCGCCTCTCTGCTAATACATTACAAACGAGCTATCGTACAGATGTTTTTAGTTTACTTTTTGTTTGCACCAAAAACGCCTTCTGTCAGATGCCAAAAGTTGTCATCGTTGGCGCAGGACTTGTTGGAGCGTTAAATGCCTGCTATTTCGCACAACGTGGTTGGGATGTTGAAGTTTACGAATATCGACGAGGTAAATCTGAGGAACATGGTGAAGCGGTGCGAATTTGAATTAAATACAGATATCCGAACAATGGAGCACGTAGCAGGACGTAGTATCAACCTGGCACTATCGTACAGGGGAAAGTCTGCTTTAGAGGCCGTTGGTCTCAAAGATTATATCGTTGAGCAAGGTATGTGCTATGTTAGTAAAATTCCATCGTCTTCAAAATTCTTCGAAATTCTTGTGCTGGGAAGATGATTTGTCTGCTATATTATATTCAAAAACCTATTACAAATCCACGAGGGAAAAATTCCTCTTTCTTCCACTGGAATGAAAATCAAATGAAAATGCCCCTCTTTGTTTTTAAATAGTCCGTGTATGATGTTGTAAAAAGTCTTTTTGTAACAACATTCCAGGTGGATTTAGATGAGAGCTTCGGTCAAGCATCTTTTTTACTTCAAAGTAAATAAGAGGGAACATGGGAGTAGAAGCAAAACCGATACTTCCTCTACTTTTTCTTTATTTTGGTACTTTCATAACACAATTATTCCTGCCTTTTTCGCTGGGATTGTAGAAAAGTCCAAACAAATTTGCTCAAACAAGCAAAAAAAACAAAAGCACAGTAATTCCCCTTTTCAGGCGTCGAGATGCATGCCAGGCTTGTACACAACAAAGATGGCAAAACTTACAGTCGGCAGCCATATGGACAGCCCGGTGAAGTAGGTATTATTTATTTTTTTCAACTGTATTTGAGACAAAACACTGCTGATTCTACTTTATGCAGCATATCGTTTCGATCAATCGCAGACATTTGAATGAAGTGATGATCACACAAGCAGAGCAATGCAGCAAAGTTAAGTAAGTAGCTGATATCTGCTGTTTACAAGTTAAATTTATTCTAATTTTTCGCTTACTCATGGTGTACCACAATTTAAAAAAATAGACAAGGAAACCATGAATACGTAGAAACTAGCCAGTCTCAATCGCAAGGAGCTGAACATCATAGAAAAATAGAAAAATTACTCAATATTTTTTATTGCAAAAGAACTGAATACAGGCGCTCTTTCCAGTTATGGTCCCGTTATCGGAAAAATGCATGATTCTTTTCAGAATGTACCACATAAATCCGAGATGTATACTCAACGTCGTGTTTTGGCTGGAATAGTAAATTTCAGAGGAAGTGATGCTTACGCATTTGCAGTTTCTTCTATGAGCATAAACGAGCGCAAAACTTAAATGGCACACAAAAAATCTATTAAAATAAATTTTCTCAGATCTTGACTATCTTTTAGCTTTTTTTGATAACGCTCAAAGAGTTTGTTGTAGCTGTAAACAGACAGCAAATAAAGAGCTCATCAAAGTAAGAAAGTATCGAGCGATATAAACGGACCTTTTCGAGCCTTTTTCTCTCTGAGATTCCAAGGTATATATTCAAGTTCTGTGTAAACAGCAACTGAGTTGTATGAGAAAAATGATAACAAGGCGCTCTTGCCTTAGACACAAAAAAGGATAGAGATCTCAAGATTGCTTCGTCCACAAAAATGTTTAGTTGCAGCGGGCATAAAATGACCGCTGCAACTAAACTTCGGACGTCCATTTCTCAATTCGTAATTTCGTAGTCTCCCCCAAGCATAAGTAAAATCCCCATCACATATACAATAGCTTTGTTTTTGAGGGGAGCGTTGCTTTGCCTTTGAAATTTGGCTAAAAAAGTGAGGGTGTGCTAAGAGTTTCATGACATTTAGATGAAGCCAAAAAACTCTCTCGCACATGCTGAGTAGAGCAAGAAGAATAGCTTTCTGGTAATGTGCGGTTGATCGGAAAAAGCGCCCTATCGAATGTTAATTGTGAATATTTGTTCGCTTTAGTCAAGCTTATAAGATGTAATATTAGATTTATCCATAAGGCTAAGATCTCTACATTGTAGCCAAATAAGCTGCTCGTTGATAAGAGGTTGAAAGACTCCAACCAAAAATCATAGAGGATCATCTGGGAATTTGCTTGCACTGTATCGAATGAGCATATAAGCGTAATCCTTTAATCTTGCAGAACAATGCGAGAAAAATTGAACTATCAAAAATCGATTTGTAAAGTATCTCATGGCACGCTTCACCAATCGGATTGAAAGCCTTGCTTTCATCATAGCGATAAAATTAAAGACCGAATATTTATGCAAACCTTGAGATTAGGATCTCCATCAAGTGGAATTATCAAGCATACCTGAATTTATTAGTGTAGAAATGAAACTGCGTTCCTTTGTTCATAGGACCGACTCAATCAACATCCCTTAATTGGTTCTCAAGATAGATGTTTATGTCATGCTCCTTCAATAAATAAGATAGGGCACGGATTTACATCGTAAATGCTGAGAGGTTCTTATCTAAAGACAGCCGAAAATCCTCCTGCTGCTATTTTTTGTGTGCAAACCTCAAAAAACCATAAATTTTTCTGAATGTTGTTTACTTGGACTCTTTGCTGGCTGTTCCGTGGCTCGAGAAGTTGACAAAGCTTGCAATGATCTCATAACTGAGTCAATACAACAGAAAGTTTTTTTTTCACATTTGCTTGCAGATTCTTCTTCGAGCACAAAGTGCGATCAGTGGATCTGGATAAAAAGGAGCTAATTGTCACATTGTAAGTTGCACCATTGCCTTACATAGCAATTGAATTTGAACTGAGACATAAGTCATCGAAGTCATTTTCACCCGCTTTCTGGAAAGTCAATCATTTTTGGTTCGTTGATCACTCTAAGCTGTTCAAATCGTGAAATAGAACTCAGAAGATCTTAGCCCTACAACGTTGTCACTGATAATCACAAGTGAAATCAACGGTAATTATAAAAACTTCTTACAAAACGAATACGAAGCTTTATGTGGAAGTCACAATTAAAAAAAGAAACTTCGACACTAGCATTGTTTGCAGTGAATTTTTTTTTGTTTCAGTACCGGAGGTTCAAAAATACCACGCTTCGGAAGTCCGCAGAGGTAATGACCATTTTTCATTTTTGTCGATACGCTCAGACTTGCAATGAAAGCACAAGCTAATATATCTTCATTCAGCACAAAAGAATCAGATATACATGTAAAGGGAGATCTCGTTATTGCCTGCGATGGTGCTTATTCATCTGTGAGGAGAAGTCTGGCAACTCAACCAAGGTCAGATCATGAAAAGCATTTGGAACTGAAATTGATGCAGTGAATGTTTACTAGAGTTATACTGGGTATAGATTCTTCTCTTGATTGTTTCAAAAACAATCTAAAATGTCAAAAAACCAACGTAGGGATAACAACTACGATGTTTTTCATAAAAGAAGGGTCACGAGAATCTCTATAACTAATCCATGTAAAAAAGCTCTTCGCATAGAAACAAATTTTGACTGCCATGAATTCTACCAGCAGTAACAAAACGGCAAATTTCTGTTTCTACATCATAGCTGAAATACAGTGGAGGGTCGAGAAAGGATCCCCTTCTACTAGGATGGGTCACAAAAGTTTTGAAAGTTATATGCATGAGTTGTGCAAGCGTCTTGTTTTTGCTTTTGAAAATAAAATAAGTTTGGTTTTATGGAACACTAATTAGCTTTGGAGAAAAACTCTTTGAGCGCGTGACTGCCTCAACACTCCCCTTTTTCCAAAAGTTTTGAGGTTAAAAGCTCTAAATTAAAGCTGGAAGCGCTCCAATATTTTTCAAAGGGGTGCCTCCCCCGCCCTAGGCGAATTTTCGACCGCCACTGCGGGTCGTAGCATGTTTATTGTCCTTGTCTACTTTGCGATTATAAACCTTAGAAAATTCGTTTAGGTTTGATTATTCACAAGAGTACATAGGACATGGATACATAGAACTGAATATTCTACCGAAAAATGGAGAGGTATGGCGCAACTCTACTATATATTGTTGACACTAAAGTTTGAGAATCTTTCTATACTAGAATTTTTTGCAGTTTGCTTTGGAGCCCAATGTATTCCACCTGTGGCCAAGAGGAAATTTTACGTTGATTGCCTTGGCTAATCGTGACAAAACTTTTACAGGTACACGAAATCGTAAATCTCTCTTCGTGATCCTTTCTGCATCCCTCTGTTTCTCATCACACCTAGAGAAAGAAAGACTATGAGCTAAATTTAGTGACGATATTCGCTCCATTTGAGGACTTCGCAAGCAAAATGTCCACACCAAACGACGTGGAGTCATTCTTCCGAGAAAATTTCCCTGATGCGTATGAGCTGCTTGGAAGGTATTTGCAAGATAGCGTCTTTATCTGAAATTCGGTATAGAAGTAATGTATCATTTGGAAAATTCGACTGTTGTTGGCTGAGCAGGGAAAGGGTGCGGTCTCCTAAAAACATGTACAGATTCTTTTGAGAAGAACAAGAACTAACATTTTTTAGTTTTCACTCAGGAGCTTAATTGAACTGTTTCCATGATGATTATTACTACTGCTGCACTTTCTGATTCTCGAAGCTTTCTCTTTCAGGTCTCATCTTCTGGATACATTCCATCGCGTACGGCCTCAACCACTTGTCTCCATAAAGGTAGGATCTATCTTGAGTAGGTGTAATGTGGTCTACATCACATTCTTATACGTCAGAACTGACAAGGGAACCGTGTCGAGTCGAAGTGGCCTTTCCAGATGAGACCCATACTGCTTTGAAGAGCATTAAGCGGTGATGCCAAATCTGCCTTCCAAATCTGCCAAGCGCCTTTGGACACCGAGTTATGGGCGTTTTCAAGGTCAAAAAATTGAACGCAAAATTGGAAAAAATCACCCAAATTTACTCAAATGGTCCAGTGTCAAGTATCAGAGCCGTTTATGCAATGGATACATTTTGTCTAATATGCTAACACTTAACATTGCTTTATCTGAGCACTAAAAAGATTTTAACAATCGATTTTACCCAAATTCTGCATTCATTTTTCGTTTAAAAAAATGGTCATAACTCGGCGGCCAGAGGCGCTGGCAGATTTGGAAGGCAGATATGGAATCACCGCTTAATGCTCTCCAAAGCAGTATGGGATTCATCTGGTAAGGCCACTTCGACTAATGACGCTTCCCTTGTGAGAAGAAAGTGAGAGTTCCACGATAACAGTCAAGAGTGCTTATATCTTTTTTTCGACAGTTTTCTCTGAGTAGTTATGTGCTCGCGTTCAGCCAGATGTATGAAAACTGTCTCTGCACTTCTTAATTCTTCTAAGCTGTGCCAAAAAATAGTGACGTGAGAAAACTCGGTCAATCACCGCGAATTGCCTACATCTTTACAGAGTATGTAGTCCCCCCAAATACGCCATGTAACAGTTAGAGGATTATCAATTTCCTGTAAGAGTTTGTCTCTTCGTCATTACCGCTTTCCACAGGCGTACCTCAAAAAAAATTTTTTTGAGGTAAAAATACAGCTACATCATTTATGCACAGTGAGCGCTCTAAATGAGATTGCTGTAGGATATCTGACAAAGAATAAGCGGCTTATATTCAGTTTCGCATATACATTCCAGAAGTTTTCTGGTTGTTGAAGCCATACCAATACAGGCCTCGGCACGAGCTGACACCAGGGAAATTTCAAAACGAGGTCCCCCTTGATCCTGAAAATTTCGTGTGAAGTCCCGTTTGACCCTAAACCTTGAACCTTGGAAAACCTTCAAGAAACGAAACGTCGATCAAAAAAATATTGCAGTTTTTGTGTCTTTTCGTCCAAAAACGATATACAGCTAGACCCGGTGCCAGCTGTGCCGAGCCCTGTGCCAATTCTTCCTCTTGCTTGTATGTTAAAGAAAAACATTGTGAGGCCTGCATGCCTTGATTTGAACTCCTGCAACGTCTTTGAAAAAAAAATTTTTTTTACGCATTATCAAATTGTTCCTTTGACTTACCACAGTAATGTTTCAGTGCCGACCTCATCATTTCGGCGATTTCGTCTTGCTTACTGGTGACGCTGCACATGCCATGGTACCATTTTATGGTCAAGGAATGAACTGTGTAGGTTTGACGCCTTTATTTATATCAATACCACTTGACAGGTCAGAAATAAGTCATTCGCAGGGTTTCGAGGACTGCTTGGTGCTAAAAGAAGCACTCGACGCTTGCAACGATGACATTCGTAAGTTCATTCGGATAATTTTTGCAGAGCCAGTTTTTTGTTTGTAATTAGAGAATGATAAATGTGGGATAGTTGAGACTTTGAATCTAACAACAGAATAACGAAAAGCGGACTTTGCCTTAGTATCTCCCGCAAACAAGCTTCAGTGTTCAGTAAAGAACTCAAAGAATTGAAAGTATCAAACTGAATCTAATCTCAGTTTTCACCAAAACCTTAGTTTTCAGCAAAATCGCTTGCTTACTACTCGGACAAGCGAGTAAAAGATGCTCACACAATCAATGATCTCGCAATGTACAACTACGAAGAGGTCGGCAAAGATCTTTTGTAAACGAAATTCTGCTTCAAAAATTTACAAGTTATTTTAGCTGAAAGATCTCGTCAATCATCGCTCCTACAAGCTCCGAAAAAAGATTGATCTTTTCCTAAATCGATTCTTTGCGGATAAATGGATGCCTCTATACTCGATGGTTACCTTTTCACGGATGCCTTACCACAAAATCGTTGAAGAGAGGAAAAGGCAAGACAAGGTTAGCTCTTGTCAATTTTTAAGTCAATAGTATAACTAATATTAGGTTATTCATAAGTCTGGCAACAGAAAAATATGCAAATCCCTCCAATGTGTTCAAAAAAATATCAATGCATACAACATAGTTTTGTTGAAGATAAGTGAATATATATTCAACAATCAATCTGAAACAATCAAAAATTCAAGTTGATTGCTTTCAATTACCGGCTTACGCTTCGTCAACGATTTTTGCTCTAACAATAAGAAGCACTGGAAAACGCGTGATCTTCTTTTTGCAAACCATATAACAGACATGCATTTGCTATGATTTTTACGAGTTTATAAAATTTTTTGGGCAGGATTTCTGTACTTCCAACTGTTGAAGATTGCTTTACAATGCTATCCACTTCAGGTGCTTTCAATATTTCGACGAGGCCTCGCCATAACGACAGCTGCAGTCCTAGTGGGTCTATACTGCGCACGAAAGAAAGGAGTGCTCTAATCATTTTTCTTTTAGAATAAAGAAATTCAAATGCTAGAGGAGATATCTCACTATGTTTTCTAGTAAAAGCAGATGATCACGGTCATAGAATTTTGATGAATTTCTCATAGCTGTTATGGCTGCACAAATACTGTTGTCAGCTTCCAGCATCAATACAGCAGAAACTACTCTAAAATCTCACAGATAGGGCTCTCACAAGGGAACGATCCCAACTTAAGGTGGCGAATTGGAATGAACCGCATACCATTAGATGCGGCTTGATGAGCTGATTCCATATCTGTCTTCATATCTGCGACACCGTTATGTGCAAAAAGTTATGAGCGCTTGAAAATGTGAAGTTATCGGTGTTTTAATGCATAATATGCTTTAAAATCCAACTTGAAGTGCACGACTAGCATGATATTGAGTGTACTTATTCCAGGGAATGCTCAGGTTCTAAAGAAACACAGATAAGTGTTTTTGAACAACTAGTTTTCGAGGTATGGCGCTGTACATTTGCCAAATTTGGACTTACCATTGATCATAGCTTTTACCAAAGAACTTTAGATGCTTTTTAGCTGTTCAAAAACACTTCTCTGTGTTTCTTTAGAATCTGAGCATTCCCTGGAATAAGTACACTCAATATCATGCTAGTCGTGCACTTCCAAGTTGGAATTCAAAGCATATTATGCATTAAAACCCCTATAACTTTACATTTTCAACCGCTCACAACATTTTGCAGATAACGGTGTCGCAGATATGGAAGACAGATTTGGAATCAGCTCATCAAGACGCATCTAATGGTATGCGGTTCATTCCAATTCGCTACCTTAAGTTGGGATCGTTCCGTTGTCAGACAAGTCCGTCTGAGAGCCCTATCTGTGACTAGTCCTGACTTATCTGACAGAAGAGCAGTCATTATGGAAAAAAAGGACTCACCAGGGCAGACTTACCTCAAAAAAGGGCCTCATCTGTAAGATTTATGGGTATATTATTTTCTGGTGGCCAAGAATAAATTGACAATGTTTCCAAATTAGGTAGATACGTAATTAGGTATAGCATAAATATGTGATAAGATCTATACGTGGACCTACTAATAAAAAGAGATCAGAAGAGGACAAGCAAGGTTAAAGTGTTTGATTGGATCTTCTTACTTTGGAAAATCTTCATAAGCCAAATTAGCAATTATCCATAAGGGTTATAAGCAAGGTCAAGCATGGGGTGCGGCACACCACACCTGGGGGTCGTATTGAGGAGTCAAAAGGGGAGGGGGTCATAGTTGGGTAATCTGATAATAGTGATAACATAATATTCGTATCCTATCCATAATCAGCATGTCAAATAACCCCTGTAGACAAAGTGTGAGCGAATTCTGAAGATTCAAGATGCTAGGCTACCTAAGTGAAATGGTCAAATTCCAACATGGTTAACTTTGTTTCAAAGGTGAATTGGCTATCCGTTTTTGCACTCAAGACAAAGCACTACTCCTTCTTTGTCCACTTTAGGAATCCTGCTTCAGAAGACCTCCAAACTGTGGAATTAGAAGCCAACAAAGATCTCATTTTTTCCATTTTTCGCTTTTGATGGCTGTGCTTTCACCAACTATTACTTAGAGCAAAGAAAACGAATCAAGCTTAAAACATTCCTATGGAATCTACGAGGTTTAGGCTATCGATTCATATAAATACTGTTCGCTAAAAATGTTTTTTTATATAGTTAATGGGGTGTGGCACACCCCCTTAAAAGCTGTGGCTGCCAGTTTGGAGGTCTTTTGAAGCGGGATTTCTGAAGTGGACAAAGAAGGAGTAGTGCTTTGTCTTTAGTGCAAAAATGGGTAGCTAATTCACCTTTGAAACAAAGTTAACCATGTTGGAATTTGACCATTTCACTTAGGTAGCCTAGCATCTTGAATCTTCAGAATTCGCTCACACTTTGTCTACAGGGGTTATTTGACATGCTAATTATACATATAGGATACGAATATCATGTTATAACTATTATCAGATTACCCAACTAAGACCCCCTCCCTTTTTGACTCCTCAATACGACCCCTCAGTTGTGGCGTGCCGCACCCCACGCTTGACCCTGGTTATAAGTGAGTGATGAGTGGTAGGTAGTAAGTGGTATAGTTGATTTTAATGAAAATTCAATTTGTTACAACCCTGGCCAAGATGAAAGATGAAGAGGACAACGAAAATTAAATTGAGGCTTTAGTATAAATTTAAAATAGGGCAGAAATTCTGACATTTGTCTGTTCTGCGCGACACCGAAAGTAGTTCATACAGGGCTCCTAAACTGCAGAGTCGTTTGCACCAGCGGTCGCGCGACCGCTGGTGCAAACGACTCTGCAATTTAGGAGCCCTGTATGTGTTTGATGGGAACTTTGCTTTAATCCCTTTGAAATACAGTGCATTACATGTAAATTTCCGTAAATTATATCCTTGCTACTGTTGCTATTTCTTTAATATTCTTTATGATGCGAGCGATTATGGCGTTTTGACTAGAAACAACTCAGACAGTCGAAGGGATACCTCCGAAGAGCAAATGGCGGAGGTCCGCCACTTCGTGCAATCCCATTTCACCGTTTTGTGCTCCGGGGCCCTCCAAATCTGGAGCACCCCGCACCGTAACGTCACAAGAAGGTGAATGGGACCCTTCCCCGAGTCTCACAAATCTCTGCTCCGGGGGTGCGCCAGATTTGGAGGAGCCCCGGAGCACTAAAACGTGTGAAATAGGAGGGCTCCGGAGCACGAGTGGCAGACCCCCACTGGGCAGAGCCCCGACCCTCCCATTTCCGCTCCGGAGGTATCCCTTCGACTGTCTGAAAAGTAGCAGAAAGCTACGACGTGCTCCACGCAGCGACAAATATGATCGAGATAGTGAGCTTCTAGTTCTTTTTTCCTACTTGTGCGAAAAAATCGAACATATTCGATTTATCCACTAATGAAAGTACAGTCGAGTAGATTCAGCGGTAAATATAGTGTGCTTGCACAGAAGGCGAAATGAGGTGAAATTTGCGCGTGAACAAGTAGCCACGCCAGTACTGCGGGAATCGTGCGCGCGCAACTGGCCGGCGTCACAGTCAAAGCTATTTCTTCACGCGCATATTTTACCGCTTCTCACCTTCTGTGCAAGCACACTATATTTACCGCTGAATCTACTCGAGTGTATCTGTGTGAACATACGAACAGCGTTCTTCAACTATATTAAGAAGGCACATTTGTTAACCTATGCAAGACAGCAAAGAGAAGCGTCATGTGTTATTCGTGTTCTCACTTGTCCGACTGAACCTCACCTGTCCTCTAAAAACCTTCATTTTTCTACCCCAGAACCTTTCCTTTGTTTCCCTCCACCTGATATCTTTGCTGAGAAATCAGCTTCTAGATCTCTCAATGTGTTGTTGCTCAAATGTAAATCATGAGACTTCTTGTTTTTCAAGAGAAAGAGCTGATTACTATCATTTTCCGTCAAGCGGAGCGTTACTAGCCCTAACGCAGAAATCTGATGACCACGTCTTGAGCGAGAACAAGTACTGGTGATCGTCATTCAGTTAAGTACGATGGCCCAGCAGACTCAGTGAATGAAGGCACCCCTCCTCCTTAGGAATAGGCCATACTATTCCCCTGTGATACCTGCGGGCCCCGCAATAACGCATATTGCGAAAACGCAATGTATACTGAAATTCGCAAAGCGCTCCGTAGTACGGTAAATTGGAAGTCGTAGAATCACGGGAATTGCAGGAATTACAGGAATCGCAGGAATCACCTCTGGAATATTATGGCCGCAGAATGTTTCACAAAATTCTTAGAATTATTCAGTCTAATGAGTTATAAGATTGCACAACAACCTTCTTACCAGAAGGTTATTTCTATTCTGACTTTGTACATTTCAATGGCCTGAATTATTGGAACTGCTTCTGCTGAGTGGAAACTCCTTGAGTAATGACATGATATATACCAATAAAAGAACAAGTGTTAGCATGACCGATTTAAATATCAGAAGAGAATGGACGAAGGAAGGTATGAAGGTATACGATGCTGAACACGAGTATTCAAATTCATACTCCGCATTTTGGCACAATTACCTCTAGGTCTTTGCAATACGAGCGTGCATAACCCTGAATTTTTTCGACTTCCAGTACTTACCGTGTCAATCTTAATTTTCACAATTTTCACACTTGCTTCCCAATTGTGTAATGCAGCAGACCGCACGTTCCGTCACATGAATGTCACTTTAAGGTCGCAGAAAAACAAAAATGTAAGTGTAGTTTCCACCCACATTGTTTTTCACTTAAATGCATACCAAGATGTGAAGTTCTCCACATCTTGGCATGCATTTGAGCAACACCATCATATAGAAAGTTTTTCAATAATTCAAACCAGCTGCCTCTTTTCCATGCAGACTTATCGAAAGAACCAGAACATTTACAGAAACTTTACTTTACAAGATGACCAGGTAGAAAGTATAAATTTACACCTATGGGGAAAATAATTCAACATTATTCATCAACATTATTCACCAGGAACTATATCACTATGCTATACTATATCAAATCCCTGCCGTGTCACTACAATTAACCTCTACAAGTTCGAATTATGTCGGGAGTTGATCTTCAAGAATAATCATACTATGGTCATCAGACAGGCACCAACATCGATCATCGCACACGCCACTTCCTTTCCACCATATCCTTCTCAATGAACTCCAATACCCCCGCTATCATTTCACTGCTCTGAAAAAGTTGTTTTCATAATTCTAGAGATAAAACCGCACAAGAAACCTTAGCTGTGCCACCAATATCTGGAGTGTGAATTCGTTTCTCTACCAAAGTGCGATATAAAGCATCAGAGATGAGGTTGGCGTAATCGTCTAGACCAAGATACCTAAAATCTGTCTAACATAATTGAAAAATCCTTCAAAAGATAAGAACATCTTCTACAATGTCTGTTTTGACTGTGCTACGGCTGCGCCATCTCTTTGCTAGTACAGAATATTATTATACTGTCGGAAGCTTGAGGCCTTTGAAAGGCTACAAAAAGTCAAGCGCTTGCTGAGACATCGAGTGTATATGCTAAAAAGCATAGACCATAAGACCAGAAGATTACCTTAACATGTCTGCGGAGGCTCTAATGAATGCAGTGGGATTTGCCAAATCCTTGCCAGCCAACGATGTGCCCGTGTTTCTCGTTCCCTGAGATTCCAAGAGTGATAAGAACATGAATTATGAAAACGAAGGTGAGTCAAAAATAAGCAAACACGACGAATTATGGGGTCATTGTGTCAAATAAAATGCAAAAATCATGACAATATAACAAGCTACGAACTTACGGTTTCAAAGACAGCGTATTCATCGCCAATGTTCATGCCGGAGACTAGTCCAGGTCCTCCAACGAGACCGCATGCTATGTTAGAAATAATGTTGCCATAAAGATTTGGCATCAGCATTATATCAAACTGTTGGGGTCGGGAAACCTAAAATACACTTTTGAAGAAGAGTTGGTATTTCTCACAGCAGAGCAAACCACTCATTGAAAAGACACACTGAAGTTAGGAAAAAAACGTGAGCAACCGCACTATGCCATGAGCACAAGAGTGAACAACTGAGCTGATAACAGAAAGCCTGAACCCTACCTGAACGACTTATTAGGCAGCAACAAATTTATAAAACTAAAATGGTAGTTTCAAAGCCGTAAGAAAATTGGCTGGGAAAGCGTTCGATGCTAGTGATGGAGCAGCGATCTAGACCTGCTATACTGACCACTTCTGGTTGCCAGCTTTTCACCACTCTTGACCACTTCGAGCAATTCCAGTTTGACTACTACCACTATTACCAGTTGATCTTCCTTGTTTACCGAGTGTTTACCAAATTAGAAATTGAAATTTCAATTACCGTCTACGGGCATTTCGCCAAGAATCTTTCTGCGATGATTTGTCATCAGTGACTTTTTGTGGCCCTCCTTGCTGACAGAGGTTAGCGAAACCTGTTTCTTCATCAAAAAACTTGCCTGCCTTGCAGTGTTGACACAAAATGTTACGGTCTTATTCGGCGAACTCCCGTGTAACTTTACCATATTTTGCATTTGATAGAAGTATTCTAGCTGCACAAGTCTGTTTGCATTTCAGAAAGGTAACCTTCAAACAGAATTCTGTTTCGTGAGATGAAAGTACCCGGAGAAGCCTATTAGGCTGACAACATTCAGATTCACGTCACTCTTAGGCCCGTATGCACGTACATCCTCGCGGGGAGGGGAGGGGATCTGAGAGGGGAAGCGCTATATCTCGCTGCTCTAGATATCTTTCTCCCTTCTTCTCTATCTTGCTTATAAGGATTCTCATACCCTTATACCTGCGCATGGATGCCAGATTACTGCTATACAAGATCAAATATTCACTATTTCTTCCGATCCCCTGGGGATCCCCAGAGGATCACCTCACATTTTCAAAGTCATTTATCTTCAAATCAATGAAGACGCTGCAAAATTGTACTGAAGATGTACTACGATACTGCTGAGCATGTTTTCGACAAAAGAAATGGAACATGAAGATTTTGATTTTTCGATAATCCCTGGCTCGCGAGCAGCGGTTCATCGAAGATTTTGACATCTTGATACTCATTTCTACCTTAAACATGTTCAGCAGTGCTGTAGTGTATCCTCAGCACAATTTTAGAGCATTTTTATCAAGTTTTCAGAAAGATAAATAACTTTGAAAACGTGAGGTGATCCCCTGGGGATCCCCAGGGGACCAGACGAAATAGTGAATATCTAATCTTGTGGTAGTAATCTGGCATCCGTTATGCCACGTATCAGTGTATGAGAACCTTCAAAAGCAAGACAGAAAAAGAAGAAGAAAGATACATGGACTAGCGAGATATGACGCTTCCCCTCTCAGATCCCCTCCCCTCCCCGCGGGGATGTACGTGCATACGGGCCTTGATGTAACCAATTCAAATCAAGTCCAAGTTCAAAAACCATTTTGCTTAGACCTCTACCTCCTAACCATGATGGATGCGGTTTCCTTCAAAGTGAATGGTTATTCCTTCCCTAATAGTTACAACTCTACAAAACACACTATATGCTATGGTACTGACTAAACCGGACTTTCAACGCGGTTGAAAAACTACAATTCCAAAGGTAGGAGTTCCCGTGAGAAAAACCAATCTTGAACGCTTGTAGGATACTGAAGTTATCATCTGACGTTAGATTCCATAATAGAGATCCGCAAAGCCAGCTAATGCCAGCGCGTTCAATACTTCAAACCGCTTTTGGTTCCAGCAGCCACCCACTTTAACAGGTTCACACTCCTGCGAGTGAAGACCAATGTATAATCCAGTACAGCGCAACTGCGCTTACCATGTCGGTAAAGAGATAAATAACAAAGGAAAAAACCCATTTTCGCTTCAACAAAGCGTGTACATATTAGGATAGGAATGGAGAAAAAAACTAACCACAAAGGAATAGAATGACTGAACTACAAAACAGAAACTAACCAGTTGCATTGATGCGTTGTCGACAATCATAGAGTCAAACTTGATCTCGGGAAATTCTTTCTCACCAATCTCTTTGCACACCTGTGAAACTTATGCGCTTTTTCAGTAGCTGGTGAAAAAAATTCAAATTACGTGGAGGAAGAGCCCATCCCCAAGCTTCTGGATATTTGCTTTGTGTACAGCTGTAACCTTCTTGCGGTTGTACGTCTTTGCGTAATGGAAAGCAAATCGAGAAATCCGCTCGATCTTCTTACGAGTGACAATCTAGATTCATACATAAAAAACACTTAAAACATTGACAGGGTGTTCACACTCACCTTCAGACTTTCAACTATGCCGGGAGTGGTCTCATGCTCCAACCCCGAATACTCTCCTTCAGTATTTTCTCGAATTATTATCATGTTGATGTTCTATACAACAGATGCAGAGAGAAAAGGCAAAGAAAAGATTAGAGTAACTTACCTGATGTCTGCTCGGTACGGAAGGTATGCTGCAGCAATGCAATACATTGGCAAAAAGGTCCAGCTCGCGTCGAAGTTCCACATTACGCGACTTGAAGGTAGGATCATCGAATTTTGTCTCGATGTTACCCTGGAAAAATGGTAGTAAGAAGAAAGCCATGGACATATCAAGACGGTACAAGAGTTACCTTGAGAGCAACACCATTACGTTTGATAGCGATGATAGCTTGTTTAAGGTCATCCTCGGAGTCCGGTTTGGATGACAGCTGCACTGTTTCAAAATCGACGGGCACCTGAAAAGGGAAACACATCACGCAACGAGTCATCAAATTTCTTTTAGGATAAGTAGCGTTCAAAATATTTTACTCATGAGATACCTGTCCAAATCTGAAGATTTTCTCGACATGCTCTAGCATTTCAGGTCCGATACCATCACCAGGAAGTACGGTCACATTGTGACGGCCACCATAGCGGTTCAATTTCGTCTGTAATCACATCAGATTACAATAGTGCTCTAAAACGTGCTATTATATACGAAAATGTCTTGTTGTTAGCTATGTGTACCTGAAATGCTGATAACGAAAAATGATGATGGCAGAGGACTACGGCTTTCTTATTCGCAAAGCTGGACAAAAGCACGAACTGGCCTATGCACCTCAGCATTCAAAGAGATCGTCTGCATGCAGGCAGATCTGCACTTTCATCTCATAAAGTTTTACAAGTACCGTAGCTCTACAAAAGGTACTACAGTTCCAAAGACCGTCTCATAATTTGACGAAGTGGGAAATAGGAAAGCTTTCTCAATAACACTAAAGATCCAGCTGCATTCAGAAACCGCCAGCCAACGAACGAAGCGCTCCACAAAGTATGTGCAAAACGAATAATCAATTTGAAAGGGAGCTCAAAAACGAAATGTTGTTGTCATATAATGTAATGTGATGCCTCAATGATTTAATTGCACGCGAGGCCAATTGTCTGCGTGCATTTAGCTAGTTTGGCAAAAAAAGTATGAAACGACCCGTACTCCCGTACTCCATCATGCCATAGATTGTGGAAGGGCATTCAAAAAAAACTCCCAGGACGATGGCGATACGATGGGAGATAGCGTACAGTTTATATGCGTATAGTGTATAGTGTATTAATGTTCGAAAAAATGACATATCGGAGTGAAAAAACATACTGCACAGCCATTCATCACAGGCGATCGGAACTGAACCATTTCAGGCGATACTACAGTTGCGATTTTGGCATTTTGACATAAAATCGTGCGCACGGCCTGGCAGAGTTGAAGCTTAGCTGCCATGGTCCTAAGCTTTTGTACCTGAAAATCAATAACAATACGTAAACAGCTGCGGAAACTGGGAAGTAACGAGCTACAGAAGCTATGAAGCCCTCAAAAATGGTCGTTCTAATACGTGCTTTCCTTTTCAGTAAGTGCACAACAGAAGTTACTGCCATATCTTTTGATTATTCTGCTAGCGAGAAATCAACCTATATCTTCTCATTCAAGACTATAACACAAAATCCATTCTTTTCCTCCTTTCTAAGAAAAAGGAAAACGGGAGAGATCGATGAGAGCAAACAGCGCTTCCATAAAGCGCCGCGCACATTTGCATCGGGCCAGATATTGCGATTGAACGACTCTCTCGAAACGGCTCGATGAGTTGACTACATTGATGATTACTCACCTGAACCAATAAAAAGAACGCATTTTATCGGTTTAATAGGCTACAGTAGTCGACATCGCTAATGGTTGCTGTGTGTAACTGCACTGCAGAAGCGCTTCGTTCACGGTTCCTTTCGAAGGCATCGTCCACCCAAATTAACACATTGACGACAACGTGACCCACATGGTTGGTCATGCAATGACTGCCACTTGGGACAATGTGACCCACATGGTGGGTCACGGCTTGAATCTTGTTAAAATGACTGTTATCTTGGAATACAATCGTTTCAGAAGTTCTTTTACGCTCTGACCTTAGAAGATACTTTTGCGTTTCTCACCCGCTTCACAGAATTACTGTAGATATACTGTAGTTGTCGATCTGCACAATTTTAGCCGAAAATTTTTGACTTGTTCGTGAAAGGCATTGTCCCACGCTGCAGACAACTAAAATTGCACGTTGTCGTCAACGTGTTAAGGGATCAGATTTTTGACATTTCTATCTACTCTGAAGCCCGACTTTGATTTTTTATCAGGACCACCCATGAGGGGTGGGCCCAGTGTGGGGCGTCTACCTTCTGGAGTGGTTCTCTCGCTTCGGAATTCATCTTTTGCAGCGAGACTTGGGCGGGCTTAGTTGCGGGCCTCTCTATTAAATGACATCAAATTTCATCTTCACTTTTGGTGGACGGTGTGTTCATCTAGATACATCAAAAACAGATGGCACGGAATGTGTTGTTTAGTTGTGAATAAGTTTGGAAGAAGCAGGGGGAGGGAGTACTGCCTTAGGATCGGTCGGGCTGCAGCAGAGACTGACTAAAGCTTGCTGAGGGTTGACGTGCACAGACTTCCCTGTCAGTAGTCAGTTTTTCAACCTTCTCGAGAATGCTGAAGTATGTATAACGGATGGTGTTTGGCCGATCATTGTTCGTTTGCTGAGAACGAAATCTTAACACCGTATATGCAGTATACTTTGGATCGAATCGAATAATTATTCGAATATTCGAATAAGTTATTCGAGTAAAATTTGATCGAAGTTCGATTATTCGAAAATTTTAAAACCTCAGATATATTCGATATTCGCTTATTCGAAATTTGTCAATTTGGAATTTAGTCGATTATTCACCTATTCGAACCTTTGATTTTCTAATATATTCGTACACTCAAATTTCTTTCAGTAGTTAATCGATCATTCGACATCTTCGTGCAATCGAATAACTACATGACATCGTCACATTTTTGATTGCTATATCAGCAAATATCGTTCGTCGTTCTAGTTCTCCACTACACGGAGTTCTTCATTGTGCTAATAGGATCAAAATTTGTTTGAATATTCGACGAAGTCGATGCAAAGTATTCGTTTACTCGAATTTCCATTCGATCATTCGAAATTTTTTTCTTTGTAAATATTCGACATTTATGCTGGGGTTCAATGGGTTCGTATTTTTTATAACACGGTTGGATTAATTGTTTTATTCTCAAGCCGTACTCTCTGGCAAAACTTCACCCGACATGTTTTATTCTTGAAGATATTCGAAATTTCATTATTCGATATTTTTGATTTTCGAATATATTCGATTATTCAAGAAAAAACTCGAATATTTCGAAATATAATATGCAGGGCAACGTGATCGCGAACATCTGAATAGAAGAAGCTGATCTACAGTAGAATCTGATGCCATACAACCTGCCATTTCCTCTCATCTCAATGGTAATTCAACATTAACTAGGGCACAAGTTTGTCTTTGTTTAAGCACAGGTGCATCTTTTTCGTGTGGACTACTCAAGATTTCTGGTCATGATGTAAACGGAACACGCTATCTTGATTGTTTCAATAAGCCTTGAAGTATTAGGTTGTCCGGAAATTAATGTCCGTTTTGAATATCAACCGCAACAAGTCATACACTTTTCATTCCTGAATAGCTTTCAAGGTACCATTCGATAGAGCAAAGCACACTATCCACATAAGACATATATGTACGCTATTGCTGTATTTTTTCCTCTGTTAGGAAACGAAAAAACGAAAATTTTCATACTTTTGCAAAAGTGATGCTGTGTCGTCCCCACATAAGTAGATGTATACTACAAATCTGTAGAAGTAAAAACGTGGATTTTCAGCTTTTTACAAGCTTTAGCTCTCGAAAAATTTGAATTTTAGTTTGGACCACCTGACTAATGAAAGCTATATTCGATATTTCTCGAGAACTAAAGCTTGTAGAGAGCTGAAAATTTACGTTTGTACTTCTACAGATTTGTAGTACACATCTACTTATGTGGGGACGACACAGCATCACTTTGGCAAAAGCATGAACATTTTCGTTTTTTCAATTTCTAACAGAGGAAAAAATACTGCGATAGCGTACATATATGTCTTATGTGGATAGTGTTTACGTGAGCAAGTTAGAATTTTTGCAGGATTCTTATGGACTGAGTTATGATTTTTCTCGATTTTTCGGGTAGTTGAATCTTTTTAGTTTTTGGCTCGAGACTCGAGGTGGATCAGAGCTGTTGCTAAAGCAAGACTGCCGTTGTAGAGCTTGCTTTGCTCTATCGAATGGTACCTTGAATGCTATTCAGGAATGAAGAGTGTATGTGTTGATGTTTTGAATTTCAACCACTTGTTGTGGTTGAAATTCAAAACGGAAATTAATTTCCGGACAACCTAATAAATGTTATCGGTGGACTCGCTAAAATCAAACACATTAAAGTGAACTCAGCTTTCTGTTTACAAAGAGGCTTTGCATTGCTGATGAAAATCTTCCGAATGGGAGGAAAAGTTTGCCGTTTACTCAAATACAATCTTAGCCCAAAACAAACGATGGAGTGTTTATCTCCACCGAAAAACTGAAGCTCAAAGGTGGATTGAACTCAGTACCGCGAAAAAGGTATGTGGTTAGAAGGCATACTTTGCATAATTTTTCGATTTTGATAAATGCAATGTCTGGTGCAAGACTTTATCACACAGCTATAGGCAAAAGTCTACCCAGATGTACAGAAAGTCCCTCAATTCTACAACTTTGCGCGAGACACTTCAATTTTCCAGTTTAAAATACTTGTTAAAGGCAGCGTCCGGGCAATATCCTCCCACACAGATTAGCACATAGTAAAGCGGCCCCATGAGTATCCGATCTGCGTTTGTCCGATCCTTTGAAGTGGCTTTTAAAAGGAGATACGGGTAATTGCAGCTCCTCCTCAGTGGCGAGCCGGGGAATAAGCAATCCGAAACTCGTCCGCGCCCTTAAAACAGGGTCCCCAAGAATTGGGTTGGACAATTTGAATTTTGTAACTGTAACCTGGGCCACGGAGAGGCCCTAGAACGACAAAAATATGAGAGGCGAAATTTTGCCCTGACGCTGCCTTTAAGAATTTCTCCTTATCGTCTTTTGCGAAATGACAAACGCTCTAGTAAGTGCATATAAAGTTCCTAAAAATTTATCTTTATGCACTAATTTTCGAACATATTTGGACATACAGTTTCGTATTAGAGCAAGAAGTTTACAAGGCAAATTTGGAGTAAGAACAAATTGACGAAGGAGGACACAATGAACACTCGAGCAGTTGTATGTAAGTATGGCACGAATGCTCACATGTCGTCAACCACATACTTTTTCATGGACTTGTCACAGCTGAACTGACGGAGCTTTTTTGACTGTGATGGATCGTCCTCATCTTTTTTCAGGTGCAGTGACACCACCACTGTGCATTTTACCACAATCAACTTTTGTCTGAGGACTTCGAAAGAAACCAAAGTTCCTGTGCTAAACTCCACTTGCCGATAAGTTGGCTTGAACTTGACCTACTGAAGGCTTTCCATTTTGAGCAAGTGTCCTTCCAAGTTTTTCATGTCATTTCTGGGCTTTTCATATCAACGATTCAGGAATAGTGGGTTTTGGTATGTACCAGTGAAGTGGGGTGGACGAAGTTGTGTGGAATATTTCTTTACACTAAAGTAGGGGTTAGTTGAGAGCGATCGAGGCCTCTCGGTGTCAACTGGAGAGGAACCTCTACTAATACATCCAGAGTCTCCTTATATACGAAGAAAGGCGGAGCTGTACAGAGTTCAAAGTACAATATACACAGTTGGTACTTGAAAGGAGATGTCGCCGATTAACTACACTCCTGGCGCATGGGTACACTCACTCTTGAGTGATTAGGTACTCAAGAGTGAGTAGGTCACAATTCAGCGTAAGGGGATCCCATAGGCTATTTGAAATGTATTAAAATCCATCAGTGGTTGATGGTACAGAAATCATTAGCAGGGTATTATAACAAGCTTGGGTGGCACTCCCCTTGAAGGCACCGTCCACCCTAAGTTAGGAGTTGAGCTTTTGGCAGCTTATGATAGTAGGCCCTCTATCAAGCCAATACGCGGCGCAAAATGTCGCTTCGAAAGCGAGAAAATCCCTTTGGAATAGCGAAGATGCATGAGGACTCCAAGTCGGCACCGCCCCTTCCAGTAATGCCCGCCCATCCGTGCGCGCCCATCCAATCACCGTTTCAAAAGCCGGCCTGCGGGTTTTCCGGAACGAAGATTGTCGGGGTTTTCGCGGATTCTCGACTTCATATTCGGAATCAGGGACATGAGAAGGCCGCGGAAAGATCAAAACATGGAAGCCGAGAATCTGGGTGGACGGTGTCTTTGAGACATGGACACCAAAAGAAGACACCTTCGGATAGCAGTAATCAAGTTGGCTGAGCATGATTGAGCATCATATTCATGATCAACATCCATCTAGACACCTGTACAGCAGGAATTCCAGCAAAATCGAAATTGTCCCCTATTCCGACCTTCTATGAGTCTCGGCATGTTTCTATAATTTTGAAACTTTCTTGTTAAGCGGTACGATTTATTCGGCTGATATCTCGGAGTCAACGCCTTATTTGGAGCCTGCATGCAAAAGTTCCGAGTTTCACTCCCGAGTGTTTCTACTATTGTACTGTAAGTAGTGTCTATATCGTGATATGAAACACCAGCAGCTGTGAATTAAATTGTTATGAGGTTGGAATATTAAAACTACCGAAATCCTGACTATGATAATGAGAATCCTCTTGATAAAGTTTAAGCTCATTTGGCTATTCTTGTTCCCCGAAAGAAAAATTTCTACGACCGGTAAACGCATTGAAAATTGAATTACATCGAGGATATTGTGCGACTCATATGCAGTAGCACATTTGTAACATCTGCGGATTAATCTAGAATTTTTTAAATGTGTGAACCACTTTTTTCATGATTTTTCCGCTTACGGACCTTTTCTTGAAATCGAAGCAAAACCATAGATTATATATTGGTTACTTGATGACTATATAATTCGATTTGATGGGTTTGCGATTTTACTGTCTGAACTATTCAGCTGTAGCATCTAATTATGCTATCATTTTCAACTAAAATGACCATCTGGAAACGTGATCATCATAGCGCCTAACAAGCTACACGGAAGATCTAGACTGTGCAACAGTGGATGTTTACCGAAATTTATTTGGCTGGTCAAGAATTAGAATATTTGCGGAAACGTTTGCGCACACTTAGAATGGAACTCCAGCACTCCGTTGCGCATCTGCTGAAGATTAGGATGGATTAAATAAGAAATTTCCAAGTCTATTTTCCATTTTCACTTGTTTATCAAATAAACGGTTACAGCTCACGCCGGTCTGTCCTCGATTTCATCGTTGTAGATACATCATCACTTCAGTCTTTTATTTTAAGAATTTGTGGCTGATTGATGATGGATTGTTTACCGAAGCCAACACACAGTGAGCGTTTGATGATTCCTAGAAATTTAGAATTTGGAAACTTTCGCGTAGGCCCTAGGTTACAATCAATCAGTTGTATGCTACAGGAGTTAAGTACTTCGCTAAGCCATTTTGTGAGCAAAGCATGCGTTTGCTTATACGATACATGCGGAGGTTATACATTGCTTTTTCCTCTTTTCTTAACCTAAAAAAGGCATTGGTATGTCTACACAGTGCTAGTCATAGCTATGAAGCCACCCTAAACATCGCGGTAGTTTGCCCTGTCTTAAATAAAATTGTCAGGAAAGCTAGTATCTTATGTGTAAGACGCTGTATCACTATCCAAAACGCTCTCAATATCATTGGTTTTGTCCAGAGAAAAATGGAAAAATTTGAAAACACGAATTCTAAAGGCTGGCCAGAGCTACAATACCACCCGTAATTTGTGAAAAAAAAAATGGCGGCGGCACTTAACCCACGCGGCGCCGCCGCAGTTAGGAGACAAACGCCGCGTCGCGCGACAAAAGTCGGCGGAAAAGCGGCATTTGCCGCCTAACTTTGCCGCGCAACGCCTAACTTTTTTATAGAAAAGACCTTATCTTGGTTCAAATTTTATGAATTCTATATATAAGAGTACCATTCAACTCAGTTCGGCGAGGCGCATCTTCCAGTATACAGATGTGCCTAGTTGTGGGATATAAGTTTTTTTCCTGGAATTTTAGTGTAAATGGATCATTCAGTGTACTAATTCCAGAGGCTACATACACATTCTGTTGGGCACTGCAGAAATAGGGCAGGTATAGTTTAAGAGCTCATTCTGTATGGAAATGTGTGAAACTGTGCTTTTCTCGGCGAAGTATGACGGGTCCCAAAATGCAGGAAGACAAAGGGAAATGGTTGGAAATCGCATGAGAAGCATATATCGCGGAATGCCGCGCGTGCTATGCAATGTACAATACCACTCACAGAACGGGAATTTCGCGAAATTCTAGAAATTTCGCGATTCCGGAATATCGCAAATTATGCAGCGCCATAACTTCCTTCGGAATGAATATATTCTAAACACGAAAGCAGCATTGTGTTCAGCTCGTCAAGGCAAATCTTTTGACATACGTCATGTCATCTATATCTTGTTTCCAGTGTTCTCAAACTGTTCTGAGGAGGTCCCTTTGCAAGTATGTAACGCAGCGCCTATCCAACATAAAAGCTTCCAGTAAGCACCATTCGATAGTGCTCTTCTTGTACATTATAGTGCGCTAGAAAGCTGCCGCAGACTTCTTTTCGAAAGAGAAAAAAGCGTTGGTAAATTCTGAAAAAAGCACTCGTTTCCAGATTCTACTCGCCGTAACTTTCTTTGGAGTGGATATTTTCTGAATGAATCCAAAAAAAGCATTGTGCTCTGCTCATCAAGGCAAATCTTTCGGTATGCAATATGTCTTTGATATCTCGATTTCAGTATTCTCAAAACTTTCTGCGGGCGTCTCTTCGCAAAGGTGTGAAGCAGCGCGTATTGCCCCCAGTAGATTCAGAAAAAAATTTTCGATAGTACTTCTTCTGTAAATTATGGGGCGTTAAAACTTAGCCGCATACTTCTTTCCAAAGGAGTTAGAGGGGCTGGTGAATTCTGGAAAAATCATGTCGTTTTAATTCTGTAACGTAACTCTAAATTATGAAGCTCTCTTGCTAAGCAGATGTGATTTTCGTAATCAGCAGGTCGGATAACCCTTATGAGCAAATTTTCCGAGATGTTCGGGTTATTTCATTTTTTCTCGTTTTACGCTCTGGAAGCCCGCTGATGGATTTTGGTCAAAATGTTCATGCTCTTAAACTGTAAGGAAACTTCGCTTATAGAGGTTTTCGAACACGCTCTTTACGAAAATCAAGGTCTTTGAGGATTACAGGCTCTTTTTGGTGAGATACGGTGAGGTGACTGTAACTGCATCACGAAAGTGCATAAATTTGCCCGCACTTCTCGCGTATCTGTCAGCAACCTTGCCTGTGCTACCGAATGGTGCAAGACTCAGGCTCCAGTCTATAAAAGTCGCCGAGTTACGAGCTCATGAAAACACGTCCTCATGAATTTTGCCCAAAATGTAAAGATCGCAAATCTCGTCGAAATTCCACCGTGAGCGCTTGTACAACCCGCTGATCAAAATCTTTTTAGGTCCTTGATGGATCTTATTGTGTTAGATTTCGTAGTTTGAGTTCTAGCCACCGAAATAGCTTTGATATTCAACTGAGCAGCTGAATCATACGCAAGTACCATATGCAATACAGTGGGAGTCTTCGGGCGAAGCGAGCACAATGTCCGCAACGCGAGTGTCATACAAGCACTCACGGTGGAATTTCGACGAAATATGCGATCTTTACATTTTGGGCAAAATTCATGAGGACGTGTTTTCATAGGCTCGTAACTCGGACTTTTATAGACTGGAGCCTGAGTCTTGCACCAGTCGGTAGCACAGTTCCTAGTAACTTTGACTGAGAAAAGCAAGCAGCCAAGTGTCGCGAGAAGCGATAAAGAAGGGGCGGAGCCACAGTTCTTATAAAAGCCATGACTTCATGCGTTGTCAAGGGACTTTTCAGGGTTTTGCTTATGCCTTCTTGAATTGTGCTTGTTTGCATATTAGACTTTGTTAGTTGATATGTTGCTATGCTATTTGGACAATAAATGATTGTGAGGATGTGAACATGGTGCATCGGCCGGCCCATCGAATCACCCACAATCTATACTTTAAGTCTCCTTCATTCGTAAATTCGAAAATCGTCAATGTTTCAAGGGGTTGCTGGAACCCAGAGTCCAGCCGAGGGGTCGTTTGACACTCGCATCTGCTTTTGGAGGAGTGCCGAGAGCATTTTCAGTTCCGGGAGCGGCCCGGAGAACAAAGCGAAGAAGGAACCGGTTCGAAAAGGGGAGGTCAAAGCTATCTGCCTCTGACTCACCGCTTTGATGTAAAGTTTTGATAGATATAAGATAAGCTGTCTAAGAATTCAATGTTCCCAAGCTCAGAAGACTTGGGGAATGTCAACATTGATATCGCAACTTTCCCAGACAACCATACCGTAACTTCCCAGACAACCATATCGCAACTTTCCCAGACAACCATACTTTTATCAATAGTACATCTAGCATGAAGGCATGAACACTTTACAACGAAACAGTTCTTAAGGGGAACTGAACGTGTTTCACCTCATTTCCTTCAAGCGTTTAACAGCTATCACATTTTCATTTCATGTCGCGAACAAATCGTACGCTTGTCACTGCTAAGCAACAGCTTAGCAGACATCTCAATGACATTCTTCGGTTGGTAGAGGACTGCAGCAAATACAAAGAGGGCTGGCAGTTTCCCAAAGTTCGTAAAGAGCTATACGTATTTACTCGTACGCAACGCTCAGTTATTCAAACCACTATAGCAAAACTTGAGTCGAAAATCGATACCGTAATGCAAATCTATGGAGACACAATGGAAAACCTCTCCAGCTCAGATTCGGACAACGCAAGGGTAGTGGAAACTAAGGAAGGTTTTGATGCGTACTGGGTTGAAAAGGACGGCGAAAACACCTTAGAAGCGGCTCGTGAGATGGTACAAAACTTAGAGATGAGAATGGTGGAACTAAGCGTACAAGAAATGCAATTAGCTTGTGCAGACGAATTCGAAGAAATCGAAAAGCAGCGCGCAAACGAAACCCATGTCACACAGTTCGTAACTCCAAACACATTTATTTCGCAATCTGATATACCTCAACCAAGATCTAGCCAAATCCCGGCGCACTGGTATAGAAAAGAACTCAGAATACCGGAGTTCTTCGGAAACCCCATGGAATTCGAACAGTTTTGGGAGATTTTTGCGGAACTAGTAGACAAACAGCCTTATTCTGACATCGAAAAGCTAACAATACTGCTCGATAAATGCAAGGGAGAGGCAGCAAGAGCGCTGAAATACTTACCTCGTAAAGGTTCGTCATACAAGAACGCCGTACTCCAACTCAAAGAACAATTCCAAAACAACGAATTGAACGTAAAACTTCTTCTGCAACAGTTGGATAGTATTCCAACGTCATCGAATGACGCAATGCAACTACGCACAACTCTGAATGATTTAATGGCAGTTATCGTCCCATTATCACGCGCGGAAACACACATAGACGCACGCGAATACAAAAGTAAAGTACTGCAAAAGTTTCCGGAAGCAGTTCAAAGTACGCTTCTTTCGAAAGAATATGATGAAGACAAGACCTGGACAATGGAACAACTGTTAGAAGAAATTCGCAAAGTTGTGAAGAAATGCGAACTTACGCAAATTCATACATGCACTAGCTCCGCAGTACCAACAAAATCTACAGTATTGCTTACGAAACCACGAAAAGTTGCGCAATACAGATGTGCAGCTTGCGAAGGTGCACACAAGCTTAAATTCTGTAATAGATTCAGAACAGTCCAGGCTAGGCGTCAACGTATCGTAGAAATGGGTAAATGTTTTAAGTGCTTTTCAACGCAACATCTCAGCAGTCAATGTAAAAAATCGAACTGTCGTAACTGTGGAGAACCTCACAACATAGCAATATGTAATAACTTTGACAATCAGAAAAAGGATGTCAATTATCGAAACCAAAGCGTAAAACCTTATCAAGCAGATAGGAGAAACAGCTTTAACGCACGTAACAGGAGTAGATCACACTCCTCGGAACGAAATTTCAGGTTTCGTTCAAAGTCACGCTCCCGATCGCCTCCTGCTTATTCGAACAGACATCGATATCGCAGTCGGACACGCTCGCCAACTCCTTACCGTTATCGGAAAAATTCACGAGAGTCAATTTTGGCTCATACCACTAATATAATCACAGACGAATCCGTAAGCAGTTCAGAAGAAGAAGACGAAGAACTCGTACAGATCAACAAAATTAGAACCATCGCCAACAATTGGACTGATCCACGTCTAATGATTATAATGCTCCCCCTGAGAAATAATGAAACCCGAAATATCGAAAAAGTGTATGCACTTTTAGATACGGGAGCTACCAGAAGCTTCATATCGGAAAATCTAGCGAATCGACTCCAACTCGCAACGGTGAAAGATGCATCCTACGTCTTATCAACTTTCGGAGGTAATCGAGTAAGGAAAACCTCTAGAGAAGTACTCGCACAGGCAATAGTAAGCAACAGCGAACACCTCTCGATGCATCTTTTAACGTCCGAGCCCATCACAGAGCCAGTCACTCTAGCACGATTATCAAGCGAAGATATCAAATATGCCTCTGAGAAAAATATTGAAAGCGGCATTCTGAATGACATGGATATCGAAACATTACCGGAAGTACTTGTAGGTATCGACTACTACAACGAAATCTTAGATATCTCAGCAACACCCATTCAATTACCATCCGGACTATACGCAGTCCCAACTATTTTCGGACACGCAATCACGGGACTAGATGGAAACACAATTTCGGAAACAGTAATGAGTTTCAACTCATCAACATCATTTTACGAAGAAACATCGCCTGATTTTTCAGCAATGTGGAACCTAGAAAACATGGGAATTACGGATACTATATCGGAAACCGAAGAAAATCAGAAAATTCTAAAGGAATTTTACGATACCATCGAAATACGTAATAAAGAAATTTACGTAAAATTTCCTTGGAAATCAAACAAGATGGAGTTAGACAATAATTACAAAATTGCCTTCAGTAGATTGATGCAACTCTATAATTCACTGTCGTCTAAGAAAGATTTATGGGAAAAATATTGCAAAATAATAGAGGAACAGCTTCGCAAAAAAATCGTAGAAGACGTTCCGTCAAAATCTCAATCGAAAGACTGCCCTTTATACTATATACCGCATCAAGCAGTGCTTAAACCAAGCAGCAATACCACGAAAGTAAGAATAGTTTTGGACGCAAGCGCCAAAAGAGTAGGACAACTCTCGTTGAATGATGTCCTATACAAAGGGCCAACATTATTACCTACTTTACTCGGAATACTGTTAAGAGCTCGTACATACGAATACATCCTAATAGGAGATGTGGAGAAAGCGTTTCATATGATACGCTTACAAGAGTCACAAAGAGACGCAACACGTTTTCTGTGGCTTAACGACCCACACAAGCCTCCAACACCAAATAACATTCGAAAACTACGCTTTACAAGAGTACCATTCGGAACCAAAACAAGCCCTGCATTATTAGCAATGTCCATAAAATATATGCTTGATCGCAACAAGCAAACAGAATTATGTCAGCAAATCGCACGCAATCTTTATGTTGACAATATGGTGTTAGGAGCTAACTCTGATGAAGACGCAGTCGTAAAATATCAAAAGAGCAAGCATATTTTCGAAGAAATGTCAATGAATCTTCGTCAGTTCGCAACAAATAGTTCATTTCTACGACACAAGATTGCAGAAGAAGATAAAGAACCAAACCAAAACGTAAAAATACTCGGAATTCTATGGAACACATCAAACGATACCATTCTATTGAAATCAGAGCTGAAATTCCAGCAACAGCCTACTAAAAGAAAAGTTCTCCAAACAATACATTCGACATTCGATCCACTAGGATTATTAATCCCAGTATTGATACCAGCTAGAATTTTTCTGCAAACTTTATGGGTCAAAAAATATGACTGGGATCAACCGCTTTCGGAAAGTGATGAAAACAGATGGAAAACAATATGCCTGGAAGGCAGCAAATTCGTAAAATCCCTGAAGAGATTTATCGGCACGAAAAAGACAGAATGTTTTGAATTATTTACGTTCGTAGATGCATCAACAAACGCATATGCGGCGTGCTCATATCTCCGCAGTAGTAAGGACAACATAATAGAAACGGAACTAATTTGTGGAAAGTATCGTCTAGCGCCAGTGAGTTATCTTACAGGCAGATCTTCAGCCACAATACCGAAATTAGAACTTCTTGCAATTTTTATTGGTTACCAGCTGACAGATTACTTGCTCAACGAACTCGACATCAAAATAAGTAAAATTCATATCTTCTCGGACAGCAATATTGCCCTCTCACAAGTACATTTTGGAAAAAGCGCCGGAACATTCGTAAACAACAGAGTACGCAAAATCAGAGCTCGTCATGCATCTTGGACGCAAAAACACATAGAAACATGTTGTTACTATATCAATACAGCGGAAAATCCAGCCGACTGTGCTACGAGAGGCTTAAAAATTTCGGAATTCGGTGACCACCAATGGTGGACAGGACCAAGTTTTCTTCGTGCAAAAGAAGAAGAATGGTCATCTGTCACAAAATACGAAATGAAATGGAATGATTCTGAGGTAGTAATGAGAATTTTTCTGAAAAGCGTAAATGAAAGAACTCCTATATTCCGCTATGGATTATCGCATTGGGATAAATTAAGAAGATCAACAGCTGTAATGTTGAAATTTATCAAGAAAATCGCAAAAAATCGTTATCGTAAAACGGAGGACGATGATTCGATGCAATCGAACTGCAAAGAACTCTATTACATATCGGATCTAGTAGAACATAGTGCGAAAGACCTTATTTTGGCCGAAAACGTACTCATAAGAGACCATTATCTTCATATGACAAATGAACAATTCCGAAAATACGAATACTTACACTTGTATCTCGACAACAACATTTATAGATGCAGCAGCAGATTAGCAAATTCACATCTTGGAGAAGAAGCAACTAATCCTATACTTATTTTGCCATATCACCAAATCGCAAAAGCGCTTATCGTACATTATCACAAGAAAATAGGTCATCAAGGAGTCAATTCAACTCTGGCGGCGATTCATCGAAAATACTGGATACCGCAAGGTCGACAAGTAGTCAAAAAGGTTCTTCGCAATTGTATTACTTGCAAAAAAATGCACGGGTTACCCTACAGGTACCCGGAACCTCCAGTTCTACCTTCAGAAAGAGTTCGACAATCGCACCCCTTCGAAAACGTAGGTATAGATTATGCTGGACCATTCACAGTTAAAATTCTCAATAACGTACACGAAAAGAGATGGATTTGTCTATTAACATGTATGACCACAAGAGCTATTCACCTAGAAACAGTTGACGGACTTTCAGCTATAGACTTTATACAAGCCTTGAGAAGGTTTATAGCTCGTAGAGGCACCCCACGATACGTAATATCGGACAACGCTACGACCTTCAAGCTAGGGCATGACGTCATCGAACAATTATTGAAAGAAAATAGGCTTTCAACTAAAATAAATCATTTTCTTAGCACAAACGGAATATCCTGGAAATTTATCACACCTTTATCACCATGGAAGGGAGGTTTTTACGAAAGGTTGATTGGAAATGTAAAGACATGTCTACGTAAGACTATCAAACGTAAATTTCTTTCGGACAACGAATTCCGTACAGTTTGTGCAGAGTGCGAAGCTATCGTAAATGCAAGACCTTTGACGTATGTCACATCAGACTTCCACGATTATGATCCCATTCGACCAGTGGATTTTCTGCAGCCTAATGCTCATATCACCCTATGGAACTTTGAACCTGACTACGACCCAAGCTTCAGACTGTTATCATCGAAAAACGAAGCAATACAGTTGTTAGAAGAAACACGAAAACTACTCAAAAAATTCTGGGAAGTCTGGTCGCAAACTTATCTTGATAGTCTTCGCAATCTACGAATGCAAGTAGCAAAACGATCAGCAAAAATAAGCCCGCAACAAGGAGATGTAGTACTATTAATGGACGAAAATAGTCCTCGAACAACATGGAACATGGGAATCGTAACTAAAGTACACACCGGCGAGGATCAAGTTATCCGATCAGCGGATGTTCGTAACGCGAAAGGAAACATCATGCGCCGATCGATCAACATGCTCATTCCGCTAGAACTTTCAAGCGGTGAATCATATTCCGATGCAGTTGAAGCTCAAAGCACGCCATCGGAAGAACACATTCGAAGAGTACAACCACCGCGGAAAGCGAAGAAAAAAGTAACATATGCCGAAAAAGTGGACGTGATATCAAACAGCTTTACGAAAATAAACACTAATACATCGCTTTTTCTTACATTGTTATTATCGACAATAATCAGTTGTACTTCAGCAGACGTAACGGCAAAGGACAATAACGTCTCTTGCGTAAAGGGAGGAATTCTTTTAAGTAATCTCACACCAGGTACATCGATACAAGCATGCGCAGCGGATTATTGTATCGAAACACAAACATTTGAAACGCAAATTTCCGTAATGCTTCCAGCAAGCATCTGTTTACACGAACACACCGTAAGAGTAAAATGCAGATATCTCCAGGACACTACAATTCACATCCTTACGTGTCCAGCCAGTCCCTTTTGTGAAATGATAAACTGTTATTTCTGCTCTCTTATGATTAACAATCCGGACTGTTGGCCTCGTACTGCTATAGCCATGGCAGCCATGTTCGCATACATAGCCACCGTGACTCTCGCAGTCGCAATATGCGCAGGCAGAAAGCTTATCAGATACATACATCAACTTTACGCAAAGCTCTTGCGCGCAGAAGACAAGAGTGATAACATTCCTCTAGTCGCCATTTCTTCAACAAGGAATGGCTTTAAGAGGTCGTCGTACGTTTTCATCAGTATTTTCACATTTGTAATTTTTTCATACGTAACTCCAATCCTTTCTTGTCAGCAGGTGTTTCCTATCGTAACCGATACCCTACAATGTTCCGAACAAGAAAAGTTTTGTCACACTACGAAAAACATTGTGATAAAGTTGAGCCCTCGCACAAAAGAATTTTGCGTAACTCTTGTAGCACGAGGCAATATATTCGAGCAAATCAAAATTAACCTTAAGCAGATCTCTCTCAAATGCAATGCAAATACCTTATACTTTTCTCGTAATGCGCAAACAAGAGTACAGTCTCGTAAAAGATGCGCACATATGGGCTCATGTGTAGGCGAAAAATGTAGACAATTTAACTCCAAGTCTCTTATTGAAGAATTATCGGAAGCAAATAAGTACCCCGGTTTGACTTATTGTTCGGAATCTTGCGGATTCTGGGGCTGTGACTGCGGATTTCCTTCTCCAGGTTGCCTTTTTTATCGTATCTACAAAGAGCCTCTTGACAACGAAACTTATGAAATCGTAAATTGTCCCACTTGGTCGCAACACATTGAATTGTTCTATGAAGTCTATCGCAAGTTCGGCAAAACCCATAAGTTCCATTTAGCTGTGATACCGAACGTTGAGAAGAATATTTTCAACGCTTTGCTTTCTGTTACGAATCTCGCATTGCCTCCCATACCTTTTCTTAGTTCTCACTTTATCATCAGTAAAAATCATACCGCAATTATCGAAAATAAATATACGCCTTCATACTATTGTCTTTCTCGTAATGATACTCACTTATCGCAATATACAGTCATTGATACATGTAAATGTACCCCAGCTGAAAATGAGGCGCTTTGTTTTTGCTCTAACGAAAAACCAAGTGATCTTTTTACACTTACGTCTACGCTACCAGTCACGTACCCTAATTTTGTAATCGTGCCTAACTCGAAAGTAAATCCATATCCCAGAGTAATTTCAGAGGTAGCGTCAGTCGAAATCTCATTATCATTAAACGTAACAAAATCGAATGTCAGTATGATCGTAGACGAATTTACTTGCGCCATTCGTACATCATCCCTCATTGGATGTTACAACTGTAGACGAGGTGCCAAAGTCGATTTTACTTGCCAGTCCAATGTCGTACAAGCTCTAGCACAAATCGAATGTGAATCGCAATCATTCGCAATTCCATGTTCGGACGCACCGATAACCACTTCAGTTTATTTCGCATTTAACAAAGCTAACATTAGAACAGTTTGTTCTGCAAAGTGCGGAAAAAACACTGTGCTACTCGAAATCGCGGGTATCTTGCAATTCATCAACAATTTCGCAGATATCCCCTTTTTTTCGCAACTCATAAAAGTTCCATCAATCACTGACGAAAGCTCAGAATTTTCCTTTCCAGACATCTTCCAGTTATGGACAGTTATAAAAACCTATATTGCGTACTCATTAACGATAATCCTAATCACTATTAGTGTCCTGGTGATATCATTCAAAACTATTTTATCATCTAACAATACTCGTAATCGTAAACGAAGCTGTTGGAAGTATTACTCGTATATACCATTTCTTACTCCTCTTTTATGTTTTCTTTACATACTTTCCCGTCCATTTGTCATTATCGTATATCTTATTCGCACCCTTTGTAAATGGTTGTACCGCGTACTGTTCTACCGAATTATCCGCAAACTATGAAAGAACTTTTCCTTTTCAGTTAAAATGTCGGACGTCCCAGGTCCCTCGAAATATTCTGAAGTAGACATGGAAGAAAATGAGGAAGAAGACGGAAACACTCCCAACAACACTCCAAGCATGGACGCTTTTGGAGAAGAGGTCGCAAACCCAATTCAGGATCTGATCGATAAGCTCAACGAAGAGCTCGAACAGCTTCGCAAAGACGCAAAAGAAAAGGAAGTAAGTAAAATTCACATTTGAACAAAAATCGAAAGAGAAGAACAGTAAACACGCAAAAAAAAGAGAAAAATAAGTTGATGGTTTTCTACTTTTGAGATTTGGCTAAGTTACCGAAAAAGTTCAACGGCCTCATTTTCAAGGGCAAGACGGAGAAAAACTAAAAATGTCGGTCCCTAATGTCGTAAAAGGTTTCGAATTGAAATGTTTTCAGATGGCGGCGAAAAAAGCCAGGGAAAACATCAACAGAATAGAGCAGCAACTCAAATCCTTACTTCACGAGCCGAGGACCCAACCAACGGAAAACCGAGTGCAGGAGCCCACGCCACAACCACAACAGAGGGCGGCAGCGCAAGAACAAGCGATGGAATCGCAATCGAAGTTTCAACTTGTGGAAAAAGGCAAGTGCAAATTTGCTTGTGGATCCTCCACCCATACGTACGCTACGGATTGCGATGTGTACGCAACCATCAGCGACCGCAGGGAGAGGATGAGGCAAATGCACCTCTGCATACGCTGTTTCCAACAGCACATGTCAAATGAAAGATTATGCGCAATCGTACCTTGTTTTTATTGTTCGACGGCAAACCGCGAGATGAAGAATCATATAAGCGCCTTGTGCCCCTTTGTTTTTCCTAAGTAAGCATAGGTTCGCGCAATCGTAAATCGTAACAAAGACATCCATTCTTGCAGATATCGTCATCAGGAAAAGAAGAAAATGACAGTGCTGTTGAAACACAAAGCTTTATTTTAAATAAAAGTGATTTTTGGTCGATTGTATAACTTTGTTATCTGGCAGATTGTTGTTCTTTGATTGTAAATGTAATGAAGTACAAATGTGGCCGGGCTTCCCTCCACTCAAAAAAAAAAGTTTCTTGCCTCCCCCCCCCCCCAACAAAAAAGTCGCAAACTGGCCCACTGTGAAAGGCTGAGAAACACTCGCACTTTCGGCAGGCGGGAGAGGGTGAGCTCCACGTGAACCAACGGGATCACTCGTTGGCTCGGCGGCGGAGGAAAACCCAAAAAAAACAACAACAAAATTCTTCCATGTGCGGGGCGGAGTGTCGCGAGAAGCGATAAAGAAGGGGCGGAGCCACAGTTCTTATAAAAGCCATGACTTCATGCGTTGTCAAGGGACTTTTCAGGGTTTTGCTTATGCCTTCTTGAATTGTGCTTGTTTGCATATTAGACTTTGTTAGTTGATATGTTGCTATGCTATTTGGACAATAAATGATTGTGAGGATGTGAACACCAAGGTTGCTGACAGATACGCGAGAAGGGCGGGCAAAGTTACGCACTTTCGTGATGCAGTTACAGTCACCTCACCGTATCTCACCAAAAAGACCCTGTAATCCTCAAAAACCTTGATTTTCGTAAAGAGCGTGTTCGAAAACCTCTATAAACGAAGTTTCCTTACAATTTAAGAGCATGAAGATTTTGACCAAAATCCATCGGCCAGCTTCCAGAGCGTAAAACGAGAAAAAATGAAATAACCCGAACATCTCGGAAAATTTGCTCATAAGGGTTATCCGACCTGCTGATTACGAAAATCACATCTGCTTAGCAAGAGAGCTTCATATTTTAGAGTTGCGTTGAGAAATTTAGAATGACATGATTTTTCCAGAATTCACCAGCCCCTCTAACTCCTTTGGAAAGAAGTGTGCGGCTAAGTTCTAACGCCCCATAATTTACAGAAGAAGTACTATCGAAAATTTTTTTTCTGAATCTACTGGGGGCAATACGCGCTGCTTCACACCTTTGCGAAGAGACGCCCGCAGAAAGTTTTGAGAATACTGAAATCGAGATATCAAAGACATATTGCATACCGAAAGATTTGCCTTGATGAGCTGAGCACAATGGTTTTTTTGGATTCATTCAGAAAATATCCACTCCAAAGAAAGTTACGGCGAGTAGAATCTGGAAACGAGTGCTTTTTTCAGAATTTACCAACGCTTTTTTCTCTTTCGAAAAGAAGTATGCGGCAGCTTTCTAGCGCACTATAATGTGCAAGAAGAGCACTATCGAATGGTGCTTACTGGAAGCTTTTATGTTGGATAGGCGCTGCGTTACATACTTGCAAAGGGACCTCCTCAGAACAGTTTGAGAACACTGGAAACAAGATATAGATGACATGACGTATGTCAAAAGATTTGCCTTGACGAGCTGAACACAATGCTGCTTTCATGTTTAGAATATATTCATTCCGAAGGAAGTTATGGCGCTGCATAGTTTGCGATATTCCGGAATCGCGAAATTTCTAGAATTTCGCGAAATTCCCGTTCTGTGAGTGGTATTGTACATTGCATAGCACGCGCGGCATTCCGCGATATATGCTTCTCATGCGATTTCCAACCATTTCCCTTTGTCTTCCTGCATTTTGGGACCCGTCATACTTCGCCGAGAAAAGCACAGTTTCACACATATCCATGCAGAATGAGCTCTTAAACTATACCTGCCCTATTTCTGCAGTGCCCAACAGAATGTGTATGTAGCCTCTGGAATTAGTACACTGAATGATCCATTTACACTAAAATTCCAGGAAAAAAACTTATATCCCACAACTAGGCACATCTGTATACTGAAAGATGCCCCTCGCCGAACTGAGTTGAATGGTACTCTTATATATAGAATTCATAAATTTTGAACCAAGATAAGGTCTTTTCTATAAAAAAGTTAGGCGTTGCGCGGCAAAGTTAGGCGGCAAATGCCGCTTTTCCGCCGACTTTTGTCGCGCGACGCGGCGTTTGTCACCTAACTGCGGCGGCGCCGCGTGGGTTAAGTGCCGCCGCCATTTTTTTTTTCACAAATTACGGGTGGTATTGTATAAGGCCACCACCTATTTTCAACAATACTATAATCTTTGGACTTAGAATTGTTTGTACAGTTACATCTTCCAGATATGAAGTATTTGTTACGCAAGGAAGCTGCGTTGAAAAAGAAAGTCTATACTGCAATTTCCGCTTCAAGATGCATAAAAACTCACATTATTTCAAAAACTGCTGGTTCATGGAATACTAGCACTTAGATAAACTAGGATGAAGCTATAAGGATTTACTAGCCTTTGCAGTAAATACTCGAAGGGCGATGCCCGAAAAACTCTGCCATGCTTTCAGTGCGTCGTCTGCTTAACGACAAAATCATGCGCATTGCAGGGACATCATGGTAATTTTTAGAATTCCGGCCTCGCCTTGTGCGCTGCACAAAAAAGAGTAACACGCTCTGGTTAATCATGATCCACTCTGCCCACTCGAACGGAGGATGTAAAACCGCTCAAAACTTTGGAATTGTAATGATCCTAACAGTTCCTAATATTTCACTTGATGAGGATTTAGAAGGAGTAAAATTTAGAGTCTATTAGATTTGCTCCGCGCATGTGAACTGCATATGAAGCCTTCTAATTCCAAGCAGATACAATTTGCGAAGATTCTGGTGACTTTCGCATGAAGACGTCGTCATGAAAAGCAAAATGTCAACTTCCGACCAGGAGTTTTCGCGCGCAGAAATCGAGTTTTGGCTCAAAAGCGCGCTTACGCACATCGTAAGCTTAAGGCTCGTTCATCAATATCAGCAATTACGGAAAATTGACTCAAGCACTCTTCACAATATCATTGCAAGGGCTAGTGAATCCTAATATCTTCGTCCGAGTTATATTGGTGCTCAAAAATTCAGTGAACCAGCAGTTTTTGAAGTAATGTCACTTTTCATGGGGGGGGGGGAAGGTACCTAGCCAGGAGTGGTATTCACTAAACTACGCCCCCTAGCTGCTTTAACAGCGGGTACTTACGATACACAAAATTCTAGCTGCTAGAACAGCTCACCTTGCTCTCTAAAGCGGTGGTGCTTGCAAAGCACAGAAAAAAGATAGTTCGAGAAAATCAAAAAAAAATTGCGCGAATGAAAGCACGATCTTGTGCACAACGTTTACTCTATTGCTTTTTTTTGGAAACTGAACACATAGTTTTGCAAAAAAAGTCGTGATAATCTGATCTAACCGATAATGTTACCGGGAAATTCAAATAAACTTTGTAGAATTCCACTGAGTCAAAATTTTATGATTAGTAAAGCAAAGCGCACTTTTGGAGATGCTCCTGGCAAATAAGTTGCACGGAATATTCCTGTGTTTCAAAAAACTGCTTCAAATTTATTTTTGACAATGAGAAGTGGAACCGATTAGAAGAAGAGCTTCGACGAGAACCTATCATCAGGAATCGGGACTTTGAAGAGCTCTATGTGACCCATTAATTCAAGGAAAGGCCGGGGTCCGGCACGAGCCGGTCTCTAGGGTTTCTGAAAACGAAATCTCCTCTGACTCTCGGAAGTTTTAGGAAGTCCCCTTTGACCTACCTACTTAGGGATAAGGAAAGATACACTAGTCTGAAAGAAGAAACCTGAGATAAGAGTGAAAATCCAAGTTGGAGCTGAATACTACACATGCACAAGAGTTTGGCATTGGAGCGCGATATCTAACAAGGCGATTTTCGGAAAAAACGAGGATAAAAACGACGGACAAGGGGTGATATGAAAATGTTTCTATGCTCAAGGATAGATTCTTGACCGAGGCATCCGCCCATGCTAAAAAGATTCGAAACTTATGTGAAGTGACGAAAATATATGCTCCAGACGATCTCAAATCGTCTGGTGGCCGTCTAGAGACGATCTAATTTTGGAAAAGGTATTACTTCACATAAATTTTCAAATCTTTTCACATAATCCTTCCGCAAATAATTTTCTATACATACAGTTCAATTTTGGTGTCTTATGATTCTGGGTACGCTGTAAACAAGCAATTTGTTTATTTTAGCCTTGCCTTCAAATCGCGCGCACTTTTTGCCATGCAGGATAGAGCATATCAATCGTGTGATAACCTGCCCGAAAAGCTTGTATTCGACTAAATGGCGCCTATTCTTGGTGCTTGGCCCCGACTCGTCTAAAACGATATCTCCTTTGCTTTTTCCTCCAAAAACGAAGTCCAGATTGCTTCAAGACGATCTGTGCCGGGCCGTGGCTACACTTCTCACTGCAGGAAAGCAGTAATCCGTTGATATGTGTAGTATCCAAATGCGCGGCAATAGTATGCAGTGAAATCTAAAGTACCTTTTTTGATGGAGCATCTAAAAATCAACATTTTTATGCCATTTGCGATCACGGCCACTTTTGCAAAACGAAGAACTTTTCCTTCCAAATCTTTCTATGACCTTTAAGCTTGCAAGAGTAAGCGGGTTAGTTTGCTGATGGTGTGCGATGTGCATGTGGCTGTTTCCTAAACCCTCACGATTGCAATACAAACTACTGGTCGTATTGCTGTTTGCTGAAATGTTTGAAATTACAGCTCTACGATAAAACTACGGATTCTATAGCAAGGAAAGACCAGGGCACGGCACAGGTGGCTTGGCAAGCAAGCTGGATATCATTTTTGGGGAAAAAGCAAAGGGGATATCGTTTTTGCGGTAGAGCATAACGTTGTCTTTCGGTCTGCGGCCGGCACGCTGCCGGCATGCCGCTAGCAAATAAACAAAAGGTTTGTTTACAGCGAAGTGAAGATGAAATGACACCAAAATCGGTGTGTAGATGTTCAATGCGGAGTTAGGACTAAGTATGAAAAATTATGAAAAAATTATGTGAACTAAAGGCTTGCTCAACTTTTTTCGAAGTTAGGTGGCTTTCAAACCACCTGGGCCGGTATGTATCAATCTCCCGAACCGCGCCCGGGCGCTCCTTAACCATTGGAAATGAACGCCCTGGCGGGAGCGGGCG